TTTTTTTTTTTTTTTTTTTTTTTTTTTTTTTTTTTTTTTTTTTTTTTTTTTTTTTTTTTTTGTCTCTTATCCTGGGCACCTCCTCTGTCTCTGCCATTTATTAGCCATGTGAACTTGGCCAAATCACTTCACCTCCCTGAGCCTCAGATTCCTCATCTGTCAAATGGGGTTTTATAAACACCTACCTCGCAGGGTTGTTGTGAGGATTTCATGCAGTAATGTATGTACAGCGCCTAGCACAGTGCCTGGCACACAGTAGGCGCTCAATAAATCTAAGCTTCCCTGGCTCGGGCTCAGTGTCCTCCTTTCCCCTCACGCCTTCTCGCTCGGTGCATTGGGGAGGCCGCCTCTCCTTGGAGAGCCTCTGGCTACCCTGCCTCCCGGTCTGCGTCCCCGCCCCCCATTCCGGTCAGGGGCTGAGTCAGCTGGGGTAAATTTAACCGCGGCCAGGCAGGCGCGGGGACTTCGCCAGACTCGACACCCGTCCCGGCCCCGCCTCTACCCCCCGCTCCCACCGAGGCCGCAGCCCCAGCTCTCTTGGCGCTCGGGGCCCCAGCCCACTGTCAAACAGCTCACGGTCTCGGGCTCAGGTACCTGCAGGTCAGCAGGGAGACCGGGCTCCTCTGTGGGTCCCGAACCGGAGGCGATGCTGTCACCCGACAGGGTCCTGGCGGGCCCCCAGGGCTGCAGAGAGGAGCCTAACCTGCCTGGCCCACAGGATGGGTGTGCAGATTCTCAGGTCACCTGGCAGAAAGAGTCTAGGACGCGTCAGTGAGAGACTGGGGAAGAGTTGGTTAGGCTGAAGTTCCAAGGTGCACGCTTGAGGGATAACTTTCATAGGGCTCTAAATTGTAGGTGCTGTGTAGTTTGGAGCCCCCTTTTTGTATCTATCCTGGTTTGTTGTTTAACGTTACTATTTCCGCCTCTCTCCCCGCTCTCAACATATATATATATATATATATGGTGTTATACTTTCCTGCTGGGTTTTGAAGACCAAGATCTATGTTAATATATCAATCAAGGTCAGTTATGTCACTCAGGAGTTAAGGGGCTATTTGGGGCCATGTGCCCAGCCTCTTACCTCCTCTGGCTTTTTCTTGTACCACCTGTGTTGTCTGCCAGGATGGGTCACGGTATTTGCTAGACCACTTGGCTTCCTTGCAAGCACGGGAATGGTCCCCTCATTCCCCTCTGTAGTGACTCTTCTTTTACCACAGTGCACCCCGATGTCTCCTGCCTGCTGGGGTGCCACAGTCTCCCTGCTTGGGAGGTTGAGTGACTCACTGGAGTTGTAGGGCCCTTTTAGAGAAGTCCCTTCACATCCTGGGTGCTCTTACCTGAGTCATCTTCCTGACCTTTTGTCTCCAAGGCTCAACTCTGAACACCTGGAAGGTCAGTTGCACCAGTCTTGAGGTGGAAACAGCAGGCTTTAAACTTAGCTATGGTATAATCTTATCTGGAGATCTGGGACTTCAAAATGTAGAGTAGGAAGGACTTGACTAGAAAGCAGTGAGCTCTTCTATTAATCAAGGTCATTTTAGTATTAGGAATCTACTCTACCTGCGCTGTGTGTGATGGCCTACCATCTTAACATCTGCTTATTCTATAAAATGTTAGTAGATAAGAGTCAAAATATGGGGGTACATGTCTTTTTGGGGATAGGGTCTTGCTATGTAGTTCAGTCTGGCCTTGAGCTCACTGTGTAGTACAGGCTGGCCTCAAACTCATGGCAATCCTCCTGCCTCGGCCTCCCAAGTGCTGGATCACAGGTGTGCACCACCACACCCTACTAATGCCAAACCTTTAATCTTTAGAGTGGCACTACCTGGACTACACATTGTTTAGGCACATCTAACTATTATCATACGATTCCATAACAATCATCTTTAACACAACAAACATAAGCTTGAAAGTCTTCATTATAAATGGTTTTGCTCAAGGACACCAGTGTGGTAAGGTGATCTCCTAAACTCTGTATTTTCAGGGCTAGGGATTTAGCTCAGTGGTTCCACCACCTGCCTCAAAAAAGCACAAGGACCTGAGTTTGGTCCTGGGTACCAAAAATAAATAAATAAATTCTATATTTTAATGGACTCATACACTTGGGGAATATAAATGTATTTAATATACCAAGAGGTTAGCAATAGCTGGCATCACATCTATATAGAAATACTGTTGGGTTTTTTTTTTTGTTGTTGTTTGTTTGTTTGGTGCCAGGGATTGAACTGGCAGGCATGGCACCACTGAGCTAAATCCCCAGCGCTTGTTGTTGTTTTTGAGACAGGGTCTTGCTTTTTAGTTCAGGCTGGCCTTGAGCTGAGTGACCCAGGCTGCCTCAAACTTGCAGGGATCTTCTGCCTCAGCATCCTGAGTGCTGGGATTGCAGGAGTACACCACCACTCTCAGTCGAAATCTTTTACATAATTAGTTTAGTTACTCTTAAGGTGAAATTTAGATTCTTTGCACAGGTTTCCCTGGAGTAACTGAACTGACAGAAATTTTAAAATATCTCTCTCTTTTTTTTTTTTTTGGTTTTTTTTTGAGACAGGGTCTCACTATGTACTTGACACTGACCTGGAACTCACTATGTAGCCCAGGATGGTCTTGAACTCACAGTGATCCTCCTGCCTCAGCCTCCTGAGTGCTGGAATTACAGGCATGCACCACCACACCCAGCTTAAAAATATCTTTAGATCTCATAAATTTGGGAAACTGTTAATGACCACAAAAATATTTATTGCCCAACATGTAAGCATATCTCATTTTATTTATTTTATTTTTTTCTCATTGGGTTTATTGGTACATTTTAGATATACAGTACAGTTACATTCATCATTGGGATCTTGTACCTTTACATGACAGGTCTTGGTTCTCATTTTTCCCCTTGTCCCTGCCCTCCCTTCATCCCCTCCTCCTTTCCCTATTTACAAATATTTTATTTCCATTTTTTCATTTTCTCACTTTTTTCTTTTCCCTTATTTCCTTTCCCCTACCCTTCCCCCACTTCCCCTACACCTTTAGCCCTTTTCTTCCTATTTCATATTGTCAATTATACCTTTAGCATCTTATGTACAATTATAGTTTTTCACACCAGAGAAACTATTCAGAGTGTGACTTATTTATTTCACTTAGAGTATAGCCTCAATATGCATCCATTTTCCTATGAATGACTCTAATTTCTCATTCTTTATGGCTGAGTAGTACACCATTTTATAGGAAAACCACATCTTCTTTATCCAACTGATGGGCAAATGGGCTAAAAATATGGAATGCTTCAGGAATTTGCATGTCATCCTTGTGCAGGGGCCATGCTAATCTTCTCTGTACTGTTCCATTTTAGTATGTGTGCTGCCGGAGTGAGAACACATCTCATTTTATATAATAACAAAATGCTTATTTAGTGAAATCCAATAGCTGTAGGTTAAGTTTTAAATGGCAGGACAAAATTTAAAGAGATGTCAAAAAATTTTTGATCGTTTATGTTTATGGTCTTGCCTACTGGTTACTTTGTATGCATTAAACATATGTTTAATGTTTTTTGTTTTGTTTTGTTTTTTTGGTATCAGGGATTGAACTTGGGACCTTGCACTTGCAAGGCAAGTAGCAGAACCACTAAGCTAAATCCCTGGCTCTGCAGTTTTGTTTTGTTGAGACAGGGGGTCTTGCTATGTATCCCAGGGTGACCTCAAGGCAATCCTCCTGCCTCAGGCTCCCAAGTGCTAGGATACATAGTCTAAATTCTATAAACTTTTTACATTAGGTGAAACTCAGGTCAGGCATGGTGACACACACCTGTAACCTCAGCACTCAGGAGGCTGAGGCAAGAGGATCACTGAAAGTTTGAGGCCAGCCTGAGTTACATAGTGAGTTCAAGGCTGGCCTGAACTACATAGTGAGACCTGTCTCAAAGAAACAAACAAACAAACAAACAAAAAACAAAGCAGAACATAAGGTGAAGCTCAGACTCATTTTATAACAATTTATAACAATTTTATAAAAAACATTTTATAACAATCCAACGTTTAAATAATGTTTAACTCTTAAAATGCAGGGATTTGGGGTGATCAAAAATTAAATTGTGGGGCTAGGGATTTAGCTCAGTGGCGCCACTGCCTTCCTTGCAAGCTCAAGGACCAGAGTTTGATCCCCAGTACCACCCCCCCAAAAAAAAATTCAATTGTGAAAAAACTTAAATGTGGAAAACACAAGGAATTATTATGGCTTGTTTATTTATTTATTGTTACTAAGGATTGAACCCTGGGCTCCTTACCTTCTCCCTAGTACGGGGGAAGGGAGTTATCTCAATAAAATATAAAACCTTTTTTTTAATTTAGTTTTTTGTAAGTTTAACCAACAGCATTTTAACCTTAAGAAACTTAATTGCTTTAGGCACAAAAAAACTCTCTAACCTTTTAATTAAAGCCAACATAATTATATATCATAATAATATTTAATAACTTTTTTGGTGTGGGGCACAAGAAGATTCTGGGAAATACCAGAGAAGCCTCCCATCAGTGGAGAAAACTGAAGCAAATCTGATTAGGTAGCTGCTTTTTCAGGCACAGAGGGGAATTTTGTCCAGTAGTTCCCTAGCCCAAGATCCTTCATCTAGGGGAATTTTAAAAGTGTTATTTTAAATTGGTGGTACATATCTGTAATCTCAGCACTTGCAGAGGCAGGAGGATCAGCATGAGCTCGAGACCAGCCTGGATACTGCCTCAAGCAAGATTCTGTCTCAAAAAATGTCTAAAAAAATAATAGCAATATAAAACTATATATTAGAAATTTAACTCAGGTAAGGAAGCAATCTTTTACCTTTATG